AATAATATTTTTTTAAGAAAAAAAATATATTATATTTTGTTTGGATTTTAAATTTTCTATATTAGTTGCATAAATATAGGATTTAACTAAAATTTAGAGTTACTTATAAAGTTGATTTCAAAATAAAATCTTTAATATGAGAAAGTATGATGAATGCTGATTTTTTAAAGCATATAAAAATTAAGTAACTAAAATATAGAGTTACTTCTAAAGTTGATTTCAAAAATTAAATTTTCAATATGATGAAGTATTGATGAATGTTTTCTTTAAGCATATAAAAATTTAAATATAATCAGGTAGTCATTCAAAAAAAATTTTAAAAAAAGAAGAAATCTCTGAAAATCTGAACCGAATCTTTTTAATAATCCCGGATACCGAACCGAACCGAACAGAAAAATAAAAATATCCGAACTGAACCATCCCGGTTTTTTGGTACGGTTCCCGAGATCGGATTTAGCGATCTCCGAATTTCGGTACGGTTTCAAATATTCAATCTCCGAACCGTACCGACCCATGCCCACCCCTACTTTGGAATTATTTTATTATTATTATATTTTTATTTTTCTTCCGCTTGGAGCGTGAGGACTCATTGGCTGAGAGGGGGATTTATTTTTTGGAGAGAGACGCCGCAGACAAAGAAAAAAAGGCCGAGAAGAAAAGAAAACACGAGAGAGAAGCTGCACTCGCACACGAAAGAGATAATTTTTTTCTCTCTTTTATCCAATATTTAGTTTTATTAGTATGTTAGACTATAATTTTTATCCAGTTTGAGGAGATGTTTGAACTCAAATTTCAATTTGTCTATCAAATGAATAATTTATATTTATCTTTGGTTAATTAAGACACTGTATTTATTTTCTTGATGAGTTAATTCATGTTATTTGTTTATAATGTTTATGAAGTATGTGTGTTTGATTTGTGTTAAATCTCAATTTGTATTATTAATTTTTAGCTATAGTTGTATTTATGACACTTCCCCTTTGTTCAGAAATATGAGGACTGTCCCTACGGATTGACGTGTTGAGCAATTAAATAAAAACTAGTAAGGGATATCTCCACCATGTTTTCATGTGAAATTGAAAGTTTACGTACGCGGAAATAGGCTATTATTACCAGTCTTCAAAGACAGTCCAAGATAATATAAACATCAACTGCAATAAAAGTGATAAGAGTTTAACACTATAGTTTAATATTTTTTTATTATATAATAATAATTTCAAGAGTCTATTACTCCCGCGTCCAAGTCTAACATGTTTCATTCAAACTTTAATTATATATAAATATAATCCGACCTCAGTGCGAACGCCATGCCTACCCTTTTATTTTATATATAATTAGTAGAGTATAACTTGTCAACAACCATGTATTGCACAACATTTAATTTTAAATTTTATATTTAAAAATAAAAAAACGGAAGTTTTAATTTAAAATTTGTAAATACTTATTGTTATTTTTTTATTTAAAATGTTACCGAACACCTATGGACTTGATAAATAAATTATTTAGTTAATGAATAATTATTTTTTATTTTTCAATTATAATTGATTAAATTATTTAATTTTTATGTCAAAGGTAGATTTAAATTCTTTAACATATGTATATGGACATCATATCGAGAATCGTAAAATTAAAACATAATTAATTTGACACATATTATGAAAAACTAATGACAAATAAAAAGGGTTATAAGATTTTAAAATATATTGATAATTATTATTGGCAAATTTTTTTATAACTTTAAAGTTTCTAATATGCATGAATTAAAATTTTCATAAAGAACTACCAGAATTTGAAAAAATTAATTACCAACCAAAACATAAAATTACAAAGTTTAATAAGTTAACACTTAAGGTTGGAATCTCTAAATTTATATAAGAGAGATTTTAAATCCTCTTTAAATCGTGGAACATGGAAGTGGCAAATCTAAAACCAGCATGTTCCACATTAGTATTTGCTAGTCGGTATGCAAATCTAAAACCAGCATGTTCCACATTAACCAATGAGATTGTCCTCTTTCAACTTCCTAAAAATGGAAAGAACTACTTTGTGAGTGATTATTGTCGCTAAATCGGACACTATCGCTTAGACTTTAGACATAGGAGACTAGCAATAAAGGTTCAACTCTTATTATGGAGATGAGATGAGATTTTGACCGCCAAGCTAGAACAAAGAAAAAGTCACCCTAAATTTTAAACAATACTTCCTCCTATTTTTAATAAGTGCCGTTTTGAGAAGTTGAATAGTAATTAAGAATCTTTTTTTGTCAATAATAACCCTCATTAATGAAATTCTTCTCATCTGAAATATTTTGACAAATACTTCTCAATATTGTCTCATTGTTTTGTTTTGTTATTATTGAAGAATTAATAAAGGATATTTATCTTGAATATTTTAAGCATTAGTTATGATATAAATGCAATAAATGTTATTAGACACATAAATATTGCAAATCCGAAGGAATATGGAAGGTATATATCTTCCAAATTAGTAACACTAAAAAGGGAATGTTTGATACTGATTAAAATATTTTTGAATGTTGAATAAGTTGTCACTTTTAATAAGAATATTTACAATCATAACTGTGTATTATGCTCGATCATACGCGCAATTGTTTTAGAGTACATATTTTCATGTAGTGCGTGATGATTTCAAAAAAATAATTTAGCATCTTCAGAGAAGTACATGATTTGGGAAAAATCAAATTTTATTTAGAGATGAAATTCGTTCCCACCTCATGGGTAAGTACCAATTTGTCTATGTGGAGAGAGAGAGAGAGAGAGAGAGAGAGAGAGAGAGAGATATGTAGTAGTTTGTACAGTGATTAAAAGAAATATCAAGAATTTTAATGACACAAATATCAAGAAATTTAATGCTACTTTTTTTATTTCACAGAGATACTTAGGGCATGCTTGTTTATGAAATATTTCATTCAAAATGAGTTATTTTAGTTAACTAGAGTTAATTTTGAAAAAGGTAGTATGGTTAATTGTTAGTGGGATTTTAATGATATATTAAAATAATATTTAAAATAAAATGATTATTAATGATTTGATGTAAAAGTAGGATATAAATGATTGGAAATGATTGGAAATGATAAGTAGTTAAAATTATGTGAGTGGATGAATAGTGAATTAAAGTTGATGTGATATGTAAGAATGATTGGTTTATAATATTTAATTATATAAATAATATAAATGATAGTGGGGTTGAGTTAAAGTTGAGTTAGATTTTGAGTGTGAAATGAATTATTTCATAAACAAGCATGCCCTTAGCATGTTTGTTTATAATTTTTTTTGGTTTTGTTTAGATTTTTTGGTTTGATTTGGTTAATTTTGAAAAAGGTGGTATGGTTAGTTGTTAGTGGGTATATTAAAATAATATTTATAATAAAATAATTAAAATTGATATGATGCAAAAGTATGAGAGAGATATTTGAAGTGATGGTTAGTTATAATAATGTGAGTGGATGAATAGTAAATTAAGGTTGATGTGGTGTGTATGAATGATTGATTGATACTATTATTTAATTATATTGATAATTTTGATGATAGTGTGAGTGAGTTAAAGTTGAGTTAAAAAAAGTGGTTGAGTTAAAATGTAGAATTTTTTTTGAAAATTTCTTATAAACAAACATGCTCATGAACTATTAGTAGAAATACCTTATAATAATCATACAATTATAAAGTTTGACTATATGTTTGGCTAATGTATTTCTAAGTGTTGAATAAAACAGACGTTTTGTCAAATTAATTAAGAAGAATTTTGCAATACTATTGATGTATTAGAATTCAACGAGTATGAATGTTTCTTATGAGAACAAAATGACTCTTGAATCTAACATAAATAAATAAAAGAACTCATGCATCTATAATATACATTATGTCTCTATTTAGTCATTTATTGTTTTTTCATTAGGAACTCATTTTTCATATATTTTTGTTGGAGTTGTAATATGATATATAAATTTTTTTATATTACGACAACATTTTTTTATTTAAAATAAAAT